AATTGAAAATTTTCAGCCGTTTGGTATGTTTTACCAAGTCTAACAACTGTGCCAAGTTTGGTGGAGCAATTGCTGAGATGTACACTTGTTCATTGTAAATATCAATTTTGTGTGAATAAGCTTCAGTACTTACTAAAATATCGCAGTTTCCGTATTTCTGAAAACAACCGTATTATGATTATTGATTTTTCCAATACCAATACCGTCCGTCCTACGCTCAAAAGAAGTACACCCACCATGTTTCGTTAGAATATCTCAATTTTTTCTCAGGTTATCGTGCGCACAGACGGAAGAGCGGACGAACGGACGGACAGACCGAAACAGCTTAATCGATTTCTCTTTTCATTCTGAGCATTTATGTATACATTTGTCTATATCTATCTCGATTACCTCGGCACAAGTGCGTTCGAATACAAAAATTATTTAATCAATCAGTTGATCTCCTGCTACTTCCGGTTCCATATGCTATGCTGAGTCACATTTAAAAGTATTTTCTACAACATTATTTGTAAACTTTTATCATTTTATGCCAGGTGGAAATCCAGCATTAGTTACTTAATTTTTTTTTTCGTTAGAAACAAGAACGTGTGAGTTTAACTAAAAGAACTTTAACTGCATTAATTATCTTGACAAAAGGAAATCTTTCATTGTTTGATATACATATGTACACATTTATGTATGTATGTATGTTTGTATATTTTCGAAACTTTGGTTACAATAGTTACAAATATAATTAGCTATGTCTTTACATAAAGTTTTAGCAGTTATAGGAAACATTTTTTTTTTTTTTTGTAAAACCAATTCATTAAGCAGAAAAGTTTCTACATTAATTTTAGTGTCCATATTTTAATTAATTTCAGGCGCTTTTTATCACGTTTTAACAAATTAGTTATTTCCTCATTATGAATGCATATGCTTTAGCTTTTCACCGGCTCCTTGCTTTATTTATAAATCTACAATCCTTTTCAAAAATTTCCTTAAGCCCATTCAATTTCAATTTGTTATCTTTAAATAAACAAAAACCCATTCACACTAACTACTTTGAGGCACCACAAAAGTAAATCAACTTCCACCGCAGCTGAGAGGTCACACAGCACTCGGCGATCTTTCTTATTAGGCAAACAACAATTTTGCAAAAGTTTTTTGATTTCACTCAAGCGCTGCCACTGGCGCTTTTTCACCACGCCTTCATCCTTACCTCGCCTTCATCTTCAGCTTGATTCTACACAGAGTCACTAATCATTTCATTGCTCTTCACTTCCATTCCGCTTTGCACTTTCTTTACAATTCACAATTTTAATATTAGTTGCACAGTGCATTGACATACATACCTAAGTACGTACAAATATAAATACAACATATAACATAAATTAATTTTAATTCTTAACTAAAAAAGGGGACATATTAAAAACTTTTATCATTCAAATTGGCCACCGTTGCGTGCAGCTCAAGACGGATGTTTGGCGGTGTGAAGCGGCATTAACGAAGCTACGCCTCAGTCAGTGCAGCTCCCAATTGGCAGCGAGCAAACCGGCAAAGAAAACTGCTGCATAGCTAGCTAGCCGGTCGTCAGTCAGTCAGTCAGTCGGCCTGTCAGCCCGTCAGCGCCGAGCTAGTCTGTGCTGATTCAGCCAACTATTCATTCATTCATTCATTTATTCATTTAGTCAACTATACATAGTTGTCTCGACTTGGCGACATTTGACGATGACGACGTTGACGACTGCTAACTCCTGAATGAGTTTGACGAGTTTGCTGACTTCTGCTGCTGGCTGTTGTTGCTGGCTGATGGTAGCACTGGGGTGTGTGTGTGTGTGTTCGCTTGTGTATGTGCGGATTGACTTATGTAGCTGTTGAGGGGATTTTTCGTTGTGGCAAGCTGTCCCAAGGCGAGTAAGAAATCTCGACTGGCTTTTCTATATGTACTTATGTAAGTAAGCAGGGAAGTGAAAGCTCAACCCACAGCCTACACTCACTCACTCACTGATCTAAGCTTAGATATGGTCGCTGTTGCTGTCACTGCTGTTGCCAATCTTGGCAATTAGTTATTCACGCTTGTCTTTCTTTTAGACAATTTTCAACCAGCGGCGGACGAGCGATGAGCGAACGACAAAATGAATTCTGCAACTTTTGCTTTTCACTCCTGACTGCTGCTAGCTAGCTCTTACCGTGGCAAAAATAAGTGTAGTGGTGTTAAAAGTAAGTTGGAATTGAGGAGGAAAATATTTTAAATGTATGTATTTGAGTGCATCGCGTAGGAAAAGCTGCTACACTAGAGGCCTACACTAGCTGCTGATGGTGGAAGGGAGTGAGGCTCTGTTGTCGGAGCTGTCAATTTGGGGCTTGTGGGGCTTGTGGGGCTTGTGCTTTGCTGCTGTTTTTTTTTTGGCAGTTTGCCGCGGCAAATGACATCGTTCGCAATTAAACGAAAGTTAAATAACATTTAGAAGTACGTAGAACAGAAATTAAAAGTAGGAATGGTAGTCAGTTTGAGAAATATATGTAAATGGATGTGCGTGTGCGTATACATACATATATACAGTAGGTTGTTATAGTTATTATTGCAGTCAGCAGCATTGTGGTAGAAAACTATTACCAAACTAGTGACGCGTTCCAATTAAATTTTGTAGGAAGGTTTCTGTTCATCTTTTAATTATAATCTAAATATTTTAGAACAGCTTGAAATTGAATCTGTAATGAAGTAGGTATCGTCAGTTTACTTAGCTCGGAAAACTAAATTTAAGCCAGACATGAGGGTTGCTCACGATGAATTTTATTTCATACCTTCGCTACAATTAAGAGGTGAAATTTTAGGTACTCGAAAAAATGTATTACAAAATGGAAAATAAACCTTCGAACCTTCGAAGTAATAGCATAACACGCAAAAATTTGCAGAAATACCGTATTAGTTGATATTCACGTACCATCGAATTAATTAAAATTATAAATTATAAATTATAATGTTAATATTAGCATTTGGTATAGTAATGATCCTCCATGAATTCGAAAAGAAAACGTAGAAGGAAAGTGAAAAATCGGAAGAGCTTCTAGCCTGCGAATTTTTGAAATAAAAATTTACTTTTTCTCAAATTTTATTTCTCCGTTTTATGCCGGTTTTACAAAGTGTTCACCTTTTGTTAAAACTAATACCGCCCAAAATCCGTGCCAAAATTATTATTTTGTAATTTAATTTTAGTTACTTTTTCGTAAATATATATTTTACTTTTTAACAAAAATCGTATAAATCCAAGTTTAAAACTTTGCGCAATATTTAAAAAAAAGGAAACTTTCGTAAAGATTAAAAGCTTTTTATATGGATTTCTCAGAAAGGTTTTGAGTATATAGTTTCGTGGTCCATTAAATTTGATTAAAATAAAGTGCAAGTAACCAAGACTTACCGTCAATTTTTGGCATTTTTTATTGAAAAATAAATAAAAAGTAATTTTTGTATAGAAAAAAAAAATCCAAAAATCAACGGTAAGTCCTAAACGTCTTCATATCGAGTTTTTGTTGTTAAAAAACAAAAACCGTTACTTTTTACTGTTTATTAAACTTTTAAGCTTAAAATTCAAAAAACACATGTATGTATTTACTTTTTAAAAATGGATTAAACAAATAAAGCAAATGTTTTAAACTTAAATACAAACATTTACTATGCAAAAGTTTTGAGAAAAGGTGAAAAAAACTAAAATCGTGAAGAGGTAATTTCTTCATTTAAAAATGCGCAGGCTCAAAACTTATTTCCGAACCATGGTTACTTCTAAGCTTTCTCTTAGTATTGTCAGCAGAATCAGGAAATACCATGCGATTTATTAAAATCAAAATTTACCAAACCTAATGTACATATACTATATTAACCTAAGATCAGGCTAAACTTGAATGATTTTTAGCCAACAAAAAAAGGATCGAAAAACCAAGAATTACTTTGGCAAAAGACAAATCCTTAAAATGCAATCTCAAAACTATTTGGCAATCGCATTAACTCAATTCAGTTTTAAACTGTACCATTTTGTGTCCACTCTGCAAACCCGCCTCAGCTCCCGCACAGCCCACAACAACTGCAGAATTTAGTCACTTAGCAGTGACGTCATAAATCAACTGTGCAGCGCATCAACCGAACATAAATAAAAACATAACCAACAGCAAATTACCCCGTTTGCACACCTTTAGCTTAGCTTCCTTTAACTATGCTACCGCTTGCTTATCTATAAGTGTGTGTCCTATGTATATCGACCAATAAGTGATGCCATCTACGCTGCCAACAGCCCAGCAGCAAGAGCCCCACCGGCTAAGTTAATCACCCCAGTACACCCACACTACGAGCGCCTAAAACGTATATTACTGCTACAACAACGACAACCACTAATTTTGCTACTAACACTGCGCGTTGCTAAATCAGATACTCTGTAACAGCTTGGCATAAACCGGTTGCTTGTGGAATTTCTCAAAGGCATCACGGAAACGCATCCGCTGCTCCGCACTCAATTTCGCATGAAAATCTACAGCAGCTGTCACGAACAATGCAATTTCATGTTGACCCAATTTATGAGACGCCCCACCGATGACACCCGCGCCACCATCAACTTCATCACCAGCATCTCCAACGTCACAGCGGCCTATGATGCCTCCAGTGGCAGTTGATGAATCCGCTGCCGCTGCTGCTGCTGCAACTGCTGCGGCACCGGTGCTTAGCAGCACCGGAAATAGTTTAATCAAATGCAGATTTATGGAAGCGGATAAAAAGATGACGCTCAGACACCAGACACCTTTTTGTTCAGGTAAGGCCAGAAAAGTTGGCAACGAGCATATGAGCCAGTCTTGCAACATTTGCAAGAACGTCGAATCGATGGCGCAACGGAAAACCTGTTGAGAAAGAGAAGACGAAAAAAAAAACACGATGAATTTACCAGAAAAATTAGTAAGGAAAATATTATTTTGTGAGCAGTGAATTTT